CCCGTGTTCCGAAGTTCCGACATTATGCCTTCAATCCTATCGGTTGGAAGACACCATGGACTCGTGAGGTACTGGTTAACAACTGGCGATTCTGTCCGCTTTCTGCCTAGATCTTTACCAAGAGGCTTGTATGAACACATAGACACAGGGGCTATTCCGATTCAATTCTACTCCGACCTAATTCTCCTTATGTATTCTAGGCACTGGGCGCGCTTCTTCTTCTTAGTGTGTATTTTGACCACCTACATCTCCACCCTGGTACCCCTGTTGCAATCTGCTCCTTCTTGGTATTCTCTTTATGGCGCACTCATCTGAGTGTATTTAATAAATAAATAAATAAAATAAATAAAATTCTAAACATCGCTTCTTTTCTCAATTCTCTCCTAAAAGTAGTTATTATTCATTAAATAGAAATAGAAGTGAACTGAACTTGAAAGCAACCAAATCCCTGAGCAGACCATCCTTTATATAGTATTATAGTTTTTGGAACGTAAGTGCGTGGCCCGAGTCCTACTGATTTTGAAAAGTGCAAAAAAATCTAAAAAAATCTAAAATATGCAATATGCACTACCACACCGATACTATAAGGCAAAACGGAGTCTAGAACAGTCAGTGGAAAAGATATTGTAGTGAACGGCAGCTGCAGTGACCTCAGTCTGGAGTGCAAATATAACTGGACAAGGAATGTCACTGATGACAAATACTGATGTCTGGGGAGTATGCAGGGTTCGCTAAGGGTATAAGACCATGTTCAGTGGTAATGTACCAATCGGACGCTGTCGAGCTAGCTGGTAGTTGTCCATGGTGAGCGTATCAGTATATGCAACTTCTAAGAAAAACGTTCACATGCGTAATGAAGCTGTCTCTAACTCCACTGTTACTCCAAAATTGTCTATGTTGGTGTCTCGCTAAATGTCAAGAGGCTCAAGAGCATCGATGGGCTAATTGTCAGGCACTTCTCATTTTGCACCTATCAAGTCAGTCATAAGCTAGGTAAGCATCTGCTCGAGTTATGTTGCCGGTCTTTTGCTGAGAATTCGGAGATCATCTCATCTAATAATATCCTAAACTACCAAGAAGTTGGCGTTAGCGCTGCCTCTTGTAGTTCAGGAAGCCCCTAGAACTTTCCGTAATGACAGGACTGTAATGAATAACAACTTGTAACCAATCTTTTTGCAAGGAAGTGCAAATCCAAAAAATGCAGGTGTCTACGATGACTTCATTTTGGTCACCAGACCACTTATTGGAAACTGGCAGTGGCACAATGTGTTCTTCGTAGAGAGTTTGAGCGCAAACGCGAAAAAAACAAGATCTTTTTTGATAATGCTCAAGGTACCAATGATAAAACTCACTGCTTGCTCAAGAGCATAGGGCACAGTCATTTGGTACTTGCTCAGAAACGGTAGCAGGGTTGCATACAATGGGAAAATTGCGAAAGGTGGAAGGTGAACGACCAATAAACTGGGGAAAAAAAGCCATTGCTCTTCACGGCATTGAAAGAACATTCTTGGACAGTTCGGCGGCCTTGCGCTGACAACCCTTTTGTAGGTGCGGCTGCGGATATGGTTCATATATCCATGTAGCAACGCTTCATATACATTGTAGTTCATGAATGATCGTAAGAGTATCAGCTTCGATGTGATTGTTCTGCGTTGTGAGCGGGCGGTTGCAGTGGGCGTCTCAATCGGCATGTGCACCTTGATAGGGGGTACAAGTGGTACCATCGTTAAAAAGGTCACCTTGCAGCACCTGCCCAGGGGGGTCTAATTCGTCCTGCTAGCGTATCGACCCTGTGCGCCTTTGGTCAAATGAGCTTACATCCGATGAGCCTTTTTGGTTTCACAATCCAGACAAACAAAAATTCTTGGACTCCGATAAACCCCTGGACTTCTTTCGATTCATTGATGATGCAACTACCATGACACTGCGTCGTGATGGGGCGTGTATCGGGTGCTAGCGGCGGCTGCGTTTCTTCCTAGTAATCTCCAGTTTAGACCATCAACTATTGATGGAAAACCCAACTGCCGTTGGGCTTCTACATTCCGCACGATAGGCCCCAGAGTGGCATATTATGCACTGAAACAAGAAATGTTTTTTAGTGGTCGAGTGTGTAGCAAGGGTTGAGAAAGGCAGCTGAGGGTTGAGTTGCCATAAAAGTAACGGCGTTTTTTGAAAATAAAATGTTATGATCACTCAAGCAGTCTTAACAGGTACCTCGGGATAAAATCTTCCTCTTCCCTTCCATAAAACTAGAAGCTGTACGTTCCATTAGCTCGTCGAATTTGTGTTGATCCATTTGGGCTTCTGTGAAGCGGAGAAGATTTGTTGGCAATTGGCTTGCTTACCACGCGCAGTCCGGGCTCAAATCACAGATCGGCTCCCGCCCAGGCTAACCAAGCCCTCTATTCACCGAGCATAGTAGATTGGTACCAAATCCGTCCGGGAGGATAAAGACAGATTGGTGCCCGCAAGTCACTGTATAGGCCACATCGCATTCAATAAACCACTACGATTCTGAATGGAAGTAGAATGCGTGCCGCATCCTCACAAAGGGATTGATCAACGGCGAAGACTTTATCTTTTTATCCTCTTTCGGCTTGTAAAGATTGATGTATTTGTATGTACCTGAGGAGAAGTTAGCAGATGACTGAATAGAATCGTTACATTGTGCCAGTTTATAAACAATTTACTCTGCATAGTCCGATGATTTTGGGTGCAGTAAGTGAAATAAGTTCCAAATGATTGGTAGCAAAATCGTAGCTGAACTTTCTTTCTGTTCAGGAACATCTTATCGAGCCTACCGAATGGGTCCAACCGAATTCGGTCATTTACCTGATCCGCCAAAAGGAGCCTTTGTTCCAGAAGGTAAGTAAAACTTGGACTGGTCTTTCAATACTGTGCATTTCTGTGCTCACATTGGGGGACACTCTCAGAGTTTTTGTTCTGAACGTTTAGTGTAGTTAGGCGCTTCTCAAACCTGAACATTTGAACACATTCTAGGTGGTATGCGACCTGAAGACAGTCAACGGATCCATCTTATCAACGCCTTCCGGCGATACGGGTACCTACAAGCTGAGCTCGATCCTCTTGGTTTGCAGCCAAAGAAGGAGTTAGTTTACACCTCAGACATTCTAACAGTCGAAGCGTGTAAGACAAGTTTGTGCTTATAATCGGGGGTGGGGGTGTCCGGTTCAGGGGGGAGTCGATCTGAAATTATACCCTCTGCTGCGTGGTACTTGGCTCCACGTTCCACTAAATCACCTCCGCCTAGGTTCTCATAGATATCTGTTCTTAATCCTGGATCGGTAGCTTGACACAGTTGGAATTGAAGCGTGACTCTGTTCATGAGTAATATCTTCTCGTGATGCGCCACTCATTAGACTTCTCTTCTAATACTGCACCATGACATTCGAAGGC